TCTCTGTCTCTCTCTCTGTGTATGTCTTCTCTCTCTCCCTTTGTCCCAATGTAGTAGCCTTGGTCTTCCTTCTATTCACACATCATCTACGCACACTCCCTAACACATGAGGATCTACTCTGAATACTACTCACTGATGTACTAACCACTTCTACTACTACTAACACAGGCTGGCGCAGCTACGGCTGCTTCAGCAAGCCAGCGCCCAGCGTCTCTCACTCTTCCGCTGCTTCCAAGCCAGCGCTCTCTTCCTGCATACTAGCGCACAAGTGCCACAGCACTTCCACACATCAATGCCAGTGAAGATCTGCCGTGTGGGAGGCTGGCCTGCTCTTTTATACCAATGGCCGAGCCTGGGAGGCCTGAATCAGCCTCCCTTGGGACTCTTTCCCTGTCCCAGACTGTGTAGAGTGTGTCCCAGTACCTTTCCCTCAGGGTCTGCTGCTGCTGCGGCCCTCAGGCCTGAAATTCGGACTTCTGCCCTGAATCTAGACTGATTGTTGGACTCTGACTGGACTGGGACCTACCCTTTGACTTCTACCTGAGCAGACACTCGAACAGGCATGACTTTGTCAAGCCCTTGGGCGAACAGACGTGACTCCCAGAAAGGAATGCTGCAACTGTTCGTCCAGGGCACAACTGTGTCTCCTTGAAACGACTTTTCACTACGTTCAGGATGTGACTCTTGACCCAGGGAGCTTGTCTTTTGGTCTGCTTTCCACGAGATGGGTTCTGGCCGAATGGCCCCATTATGATGCATTCATTCCCCAGGGGCTGAACGGGTAAAGGCCCTTTTATTTAGAAAGAAAAAGAAAGAAAAAAGAACTGAATGATTTTGACTTTGATGGAATTTCATAGAACGAAAGTACGAAAATGTACTATCCAATTGCCACGTGTGCTACCTGCGGTTTGCGATTTTGCTGCGTTGTCCAGTCGCACAGGAGTGGCAAATCAGAAAAGGCGATATGCCTCAACGCTCTGGCATTTGCGAAATCGGCCGGCTCAGCTGCCTGTGCGGTCACAGAGAAAAAGTCGTTGACGGATGCCTGCAATTCGTCTGGGAACTTGTGGACTCGAGAACAGAAAAAAAATAAAAAATAAAAAAAAAATGGAGGTGCAAGTTGCCCAAAACCCCGAGGCCCAGCAGGCCTCTGACATTTGCCTCGCAAATTTGATGGCCAGGAGGGCACAGTGTGACTGCCAAACGATCACAAATTTTGCGATTCTGCCGAAAAAGCCCCTTGTGAGATGTGAGTAGATCCAGGCGGTGGAGTAAAAGATCCCGAACCTGTCTTCCGCCTCATCATTTTATTTTTTATTTTTCATGAAAAGAACGATAATAGTTTGTGAACGAACGTTGTCAGCTGCGTGCCTGGAGTGCGTGCATAGTACTGCATACTACTCAGGAGGACACTACTCTTTTTCATACGGCTTGGCGACGCTGGTAGATGTTCTATTGGGCTGATTTAAAAAAAAAGAAAAAAAAATTGCGATCAACTGTGGCGGCCCTTGAGGGTGACCATATGTCGTTGATGGAGACTTTGTCGTTGCAAGACACAACATCCATCATGGTTTCTATCCAGATATCCAGACCACAGTGTGGACGGTCTGGGTCTTGATGTTCACGACTGGTGTCCGGTCCAGAGTGTCCAGATTTTGTTTTTTTAAGGGGTGTTTTCAGTCCGGACTGTCCGGAGCAGTCCAGACACAGGTCCGGCCGGATGCCTGGACTTGTCCAGTGTCCGGGTCCCGCGTAACTAACCATGACGTCCGTCCGTCTACGATCTAATATATGACGTCTGTCCGTCTATGATCTAATATATGTATGATAGAAGTAGTTCGGTTCGGTTTGTCCGGGCAGACTGTGAGGACCCCGGCCTCATTCCTCTTATTGGTAATATCAGCCTTGGGCACTGGGTCCCTTTTTGGAAAATAACTCCGACGAAACAGTTTGTCACAGCCCCTCGTTTGTTGTCCTCTTCTCTCTCTCTGCCTACGGTTTACCGGGCAGTTCTGTTTGTGACGATATATAGCATTGTAATTACACCAGGGAAGGAGGTTTTACCATTGCTGTCCTAGAAATAGCGATGAGGAACCGCCAGCTTGAACTACGCCATGCTCTACCAGGTGAGCTGTTTAATCCTCCATCCCGCATCTCTGCCTGCATTGTGCATGGGCCTGGCCATTACATGGCTATTGTACACGCCTCTGACCATT